CAGCGGATGTCTAGATTGTATCACAGTAACACGAGCGAGCATCCAGGGCACGATCCGGTTGACATTTCTTGTTTATTATTGGAATTTCAGTGTTATTGTTACTTTAGCTCAAAGAAGTTTAAAAAAATTTGCTTTCATGGTAATATCTGCATACTATCGAGTAATCAGCCAATCAGCAGTAATTCAACAATCAATTATCCTGAGGAATTCTGACCCACGACGAATGGCAAAGACTATGACTCAAGAATCTCGTAAACTGGGTATTTCGTATAATTCAGATAACCTTGTGATAAAAATAAATGTAGAATTTAAATAATTTCTGCAATTCTTGCAAGTTTTCGTGACCGGTAACAAGAAGAAACTCGAAGAAGTTCAAGACATTCTGGGGACCTCGGTTGACTTGACCAGCCATAAACTTGATTGTTAGTAATTTCTATATTTCTTCGTGATTTCTATCTTCTATTACGTGAGAATCATTAAGTTCTTTATTTCCTATTAATTCGACAACAGTAACCGAGATACAAGGTACAAGCCGTGAGGTATCGGCCGATAAGTGTCTGCGCGCTTCGATAGAGGTAGATTTGATGAATGTGGCATTCGATTAATTAATTAATTAATTAAACATCAATTTGATTTATATCGAACGATCGTAGCTAAACGGGCCTGTCATAACCGAAGACACGTGTCTTTGCTTCAACGCGTTGCAAGGCCTGCCAGGACCATACATGTTAGTTAGTTAATGATGATATTAATTTTTCTACATGGACAATTCACGAGATTTGATTCTTGCTTCGCCATAGAAAATGGTTTCTGGATAAATTGGGTCACGATGGTATGTCACTTGGTTAGGTGTTATTCACGCGAATGCTTTCAATACACCAGTTACCATATACACACACGTATTGTTGTAGGTTTAAATCGAATGTTGAGCGGATTCGAGGACAAATCCGCCTATGCACTATGCACTTTCGCATATTCGACTGGACCCGGAACGGAACCATTATTATTTGAAGGTCGCACTGATGTAATTTCACGACGGTTATTTTAAGTAATAATCAGATTACCCCGAGCACTGACCACATCATTATCATCTATTCACACTTTGATTAAAGGGGAAGATTGTGCCTCCTCGTGGTCCAACAGATTTCGGGTGGGATCCTATTTTTCAACCGGATGGATTCGATCAAACGTGAA